TGTGTGTGTGTGTGTGTGTGTGTGTGTCCTATTTACAGTGTATTTTACACACTAGTGTTACAATGCCCTTCATACTGACAGTAAATGCAGTGTGATGAGCAGGTCTCAGCCTGGGTGAGGAACGGGAAAACAGGATAGTAGGGTGGGAAGAGGACAGACAGAAGTTATAAACTGTGCTGAGCAGCCTCAGTGGGTCAACTGAGGGGAAATAAATAGATAAATGGTCTTGGAAATGTGACTCGGACTAACCCCAAACAGCTGACACACCTACCACCACCAGAAAAGCAGTGCTGAAAGAAAAAGGGCCTTTCATTATTGTCTGGAAGTTCTTTTAGACCTGCTGCACACTAGAGGATTTTCAACTCATAACCGCTTATAAAAACGTGAGAGAGCACAGACATAATAACAGATTTAACTAATTTTTAACATTAAAAATCTTTAGAACACACAACACAACACAGAATGTAAGACGCTTGCTGTTTGTAGGAAACAATTTCACAGTGATAATTCCAGTGACTTGGGATCTCACATAAAGTCATGTGATTGTTCTACTTCTCTTTTATTATGGTGCTTGGTAAACAACTTTTAGGTGCATTACTGCTACCTTCTCAACTGGGGTGTGGAAAACGTGCATGATAAAACGTGACCTCATAAAAACAAAACACGGAGGGCGATCAATGTCATCAGCTGGCTTCACTTGTGGTTGTTCTGTTTTGGAGAGAAAATAAACCTATGGATGCAGGCATGTCTGCGCATACGTATATATACATACATACATACATTCACACATGCATTCCCCTAAAATCAGCCGCAGAAATCCACTACGGATTGGGCTCCCTGTATGGAAGTGGGAAAATGTAATAAAGTAATCAAGAGAAACACTGTTTCTGTTTCTTGTCTTTAGAGAAAACCCCACCTCTGCACCATGTTCTGTCCAACTCTGGACTGAAAAGCCAAACATCGCCTCACACTGGTAAAAACATGAATGTGATTAATCTGGGCGTGTGTCCAGCTATGCATGGGACTTGAATGTTTAAGAAAACCAAAACTTCTCATCTAGTCAATGTGACACTTATTTTAAAGCCAAAATAAACCAACAGTGATGAAACAAGATTGTTTTTGATAGAGTAGCTTAGTAAAACTGAGAAAGGCCAAACAAGTCCAAACTCAAAATCGCGAGGCAGCTGTTGGACCTGTTATCACACACACCAGGAGGAAATTAAACAAACACAGCTGACACACCCATTAATATCAGGCCGAAATTCAGCCTCCTTTTGTTTGCCATCCTGCTAACTGCTCTCAGTGAACATGAAAAACTTGCTGCAGCTAAATTAACCTTAATCAGCTCTCGTCTTGGGAAAACAAAAAGAAAATGACACCCTGATACAGAGTTTGTCCTTGTAAGCATTAGGTGAAGTCTAAACTGAATGAATGTGAAATCAGTGTGAAAACCTCATTTTGTAAATTACAGCTGACTTGTTATAACAGTAACAGTCTATAATACTTTTTAAGGCACTTTCTAAATAAAAAATGAATTCATATTTGTCTGACTGTATTAATTGATGAAAAGCAGCAATGTGCAGAAATATAGAAAATTGTGGATGTGATTCATTGAAATGCATCGAGATGCATGGTTGTGCATTTGAATCGTTGACTGTTGGATTGTTACAGAATCGAATTGTGAGGCTAGTGAGGCTAAGATGCACACCACTAAAGAAGAGAAAACAACAGGAGGGAATTCAGAGGGAAGCCAGCCATATCCAACACCTTCTGAATCAAGATCGATGTTAGCATTTACACAGCATCCATCTTCAAGAGTGTTTCAGCCCAACTATTAAGGTGACATCCACACTAAAACATTTCCACAAATTGTGGAAAATCTGCTGATAAATGGTGAACTCACCAGTGAAGATAGCGCTCAGGAGTCTTTTAACGTCTTATGCTGAAATATATATTGTAGCTTGGCCAAGGAGAAAATCAGAATTCATCCTAACAACATATGTGCATGATGCTCTCTCATATTCTGAAGTCTGCTTTCCTGCAATCACACTTTAAACCCCAACAGATCATTTAATCTATGGGTGTGCTTGTTCCTAAACAATCAAATGTATTTTCTAGTTATAGAGACAGTAGTGCCTGCTTACGCAGTCTCATTCGCCAAGCTCTCGCACTTCCCCAGAGAGGACAAGAGTCAGCGTCTATGAAAATTCAATAACAACAGGTATAAGTGCGAGTAGTCGTTTGTAGTCGTGACTGATAAGAACGAGTCAGGATTACTGGAAACTTCTGACTTGTGGTCTGAGAGCAGACTCTGTAAATCAGAGGGCAAAGTAAACCATGCCATTTCTATTTTGTATGTGTGTTATCCGAACAGAGAATATTGACACAAGCAAAAAACATGACATTCCATCTCCTTTCTGTAGTTTTCAGAAATGATAACGATAATAATATAATAGTTATTTCACCGATTGTGTTTTATTTGCATGGTGTATAAAATGTCAGAACATAGTTAAAGGTGCCCACAATGAACCAAATTGACACAGAAAGCTCAGTGAACTATCATATAAAACTAAGAGAGGAAAGCATATATCCACATTTGTATTGTTGCAAGAAATGAAAATAAGAAATACATTTCTGTCTTGTATGTTTACACAGACGTTCAATGCAGCACTGTCATCTTTCTGTGTACTGACGCTATGTTATGGATTGTTTTTTCCACTCCTTCTTCCTACAAATTTTCCAGCAGTGTGAGGGAATAAGTTTTACATTATAGTTTGACAACATGTAGCTGCCAAAAAAAATATGCCAGCATTAATGCAACTAACATGGAAGCTCAAAGGCAATTGGAACCACTTCTGAATTTCAAATCCCTAAGATTTATATATATTTAAAAATGAGCAGGTTCAGCTAAATCTGGATCCATTTGCATGAAGATAACAGAGCAGAGAAAAGAGCCACATATGAGACGCTCTGGTGAACATCAGCACAGCAGGAAAGTCAGCGAATCGTCTTCGGGAGCTGCTACAGGGCAACTTGGTGCAGCCACACTGATAAACGCTGAGCAACGCATGCTACATTTTCAATTAGCTAATTAAAGACTAACCATGGTTGACTGGAGGCAGCACATCAGCAAACAGAAAGTGTTTAACCACTTTTCTTGACTCAGGTCAGCCCAAACCTCCCTGCAGCTTTGGCTGACTATTTTATTTGACTCTCCACCTAGACAACACTGCTATTTTATTCCTACTCAACAGCTGGAGAGGGCGGTATTCAGTTCAGGTGTGCGACAGATGTGTGCGTTTTCACCACTAATGAAAACACACACAAAAGAGAAAAGAGCGTGGGACCCTAACATTTCATCAAACTGTGAAATCCAGAAGAAAGAGAAGAAGAAATCGTACAAACAAGAAAACAAAATAAACTGCACACACACACAAACAGAATAAATCCTCATAATAATTATACACTTGTTTAAGCCAATCGCTTTCTGTAAAATAAATGTTTTTTTTCTAACATATTAAAACATACGCCTGTGATAAGCTGACCAAACATTCAGCGTCATGTTTGCTTTGGCAGCTGTTTGATATCCTTCAAACAAATGTATCTTTGTTAAGCTTCGACCTGAATCAAGGCAGAACACACAAAAAATCATCAAGACCCTTGAGAGAATTTTCAGAAAAGTCACCAAATAAAAAGGAAGAGAGCTAGTTTAGTGATATTAGACGGAAGATGCTGGTTTGTGTCTGTCTTCAGACACATTAAGGGGGCATCCGAGCCTTTCTTTTAAACATTGGTGATGACGGTGTTAAAACTAAACTGCAGTTGGATGATCACTTGAACAGGTTTGGGAAAATATCAGTAAGCCTGAATGAACAGGGCCACACAAACACGAGATGCTGAGAGGGTGCAAAGGGATGTTGCTTAGCAACCAGGAACCATTTTTTTGGCACAGTATGAAAATAAATATGTCACAACAAACTAAAAGCTCAGTACAATTGTGGTGATTCAGGACCCAGAGATGCTCAATGTTGCCATCACTTCTTCATTATAATACAATAACACTGAATAAAATGTTTTTCCTCCATCAGAACACTGAATCTCGGACTGACAACCTGTTTACCATCTACTACCTTGGCCCACCAGTGTCATAACCGAAAACATTTTTACATGATTAGCTCTCTAACGTAATGTTTTGCACTGCTGTTTCATTATAGAGCTGTGCACATTGATTCACTCAGCTGGGTGGATCACAGAGTTCCAATGATGGAAAATCTGAATATTGACAGCTGTGATATTTTTGACAAAAACTCTTTTAACTTGATGTCATCAGTTTGGGAACGGTACTTCCCTGTTTCAGCCTGACAATGTCTCAGAGTGCAAAGCCAAGTTTGATGTGAAG